AAAAAAAAAAAAAAAAAAAAAAAAAAAAAAAAAAACCAAAACCAAAACCTCAGAATATAATACAAGGAGAAATCAGCAGTGATTTTTATTATAATTCCTATTTTAGTAAAGCTGCATTCCCAACCCATCAGAGTTTGCAGATGAATGAAGGAGAATACTGGTGTCTGAATGATGAATGACATTTTGAGCTCTTCAAAAGCAGCTTGGAGTTCGAGCTGTACCTTGGTCCTGAGTCTGAGTCTAGTGTATCTTCTGGGCACTCAGTGAATGTCATGTCTTTGCTTTGAGTGTTAATGGAAGGCAAGATTACAGGGTCACAAACATTTTCATGGTTATCCCTTTCATCTTTAAAAGCCTGTAACATTTTCAAATGCACTGTGGCATTTAGTTATAGGGGATTAGGATCAGCAAGGTTCAAATTATTCTAGGGGCAAAGGTAGCAGACTGAAATCCAGTGGAAATGTAATAACTGTTTGTTGAACGCAAAAAATCTCACAAGGTCATTTCCTTGCCAGAAAGCACAATATGAAATGTCATGTGTTAATTGGAGAGCAACTGAAAATGTGGTCGTTGTTAGTAATTTGTCACAATAACCACTGCTACTATGGTTGTTATTCTGGAAAACCACAAGAACTCTGTTGTGTGTATCTTCTTTAGACATGAATTATGTCTATGGAAGACACTAAGCATTCTTTCAGGCAGTGTTGGAATACTGAATCTTTACTTCTCATGCAGCATTTCAAAGGGGGGTGTGCATGCAGACACACAGAGAAAACATTTCTCAAGCATCAGATCCCACACTGTCCCCACATATCAGCCAGCATCCCTTGGAATGTAATTTAGACATTTCTCACCCCTTCAACACTTAATAAAGCTCATGTCCAATGGAAGAAAGAATTCAAGGTTTTGAAACATAAGACCAGAAATAATTTATGAGTGAATCCCAGAGTTCAATTGTTACTAATTGTAGAACAGAAATATATACCCCCTCCCTCCAGTGGATCAGACTACACATATTCCAAGGGAGAGGAAGGTTTGCAAGCATAGAGCTCCCTTCCCACCCCTGTCACACACTCTCCACAGGCATAGGAATTGGCAGGGCTGCTGCTCCCTACCGGTAAAGCTGGCTCTTCCTTGTCCCCAGCTGTAGATGACTGCATAAGGAAAAGGCAAAAACAAAACACAAAGAAGTAAATAACAAATCCTACACAGGCTTTACATTTAATAACAATCACCAATATAGAGAGTGTTATTTCTACTTCTGGTATGAGTTAAGTCAAAGTAGAGGTACACAGTTGATATTTTGTTTTTTGTTTTGTTTTTTTTTTTTTTTTTTAGATATATGACCCACTCCCTTGAAAAGTCAAACTTGAATTTCCAACTCTGATGTCTAGTAATAAAAGTGCTCTTAACAGATGAGTCATCTTTCCGGCTCTGTGTGATATAATTCTTAAGACTAATAAATTTGTTACTTAATAAAGTTGATATTAAATATTTCACAGACATTCAATCAAATATTTAATGATCTTTAATTTTGTTGAAATACCTTTTTGGACTCTGAAATCAACGCAGTGTATATTCCCTTCTGTCTCCAAACATTGTCAGAGATCCATGTAGAACTTGTGTGTGTCAGACACAGACAGACAGACAAGTTCTGGGTTGGAGATAATTTCCCAGCACAGCCCATGGGTATAAGTATATTTGCTATAAGTTCTTCTTTGGGGGTTATCTCTTAGTGACTTCTTGAAAAGTATTACAAGAAACTATCTCTGATGCCCTAGCTGCCAAGAACAAGCTTGGAAATGGAAGTGGACCAGAAGTTGTCCTTTGATTTCTCTTTCTGCTCTGAAAGACACCCTGTGAGCCCATTTCTCTAAAGCAGCTGCTTTGTTCTTCCACATCAGACAGCTCAACAAATGGCTCCACATACTACAGAGTAACCCTCTGAGGAAATTTTCCAGTGCAGCTAGCTCAGCCTTTGGACATACATGGAGACTAGCTGCCACAGCACGCCTTTTCAGTTAGCAAATTTATACCTTGTGGCTAAACGGGAAGCACATGACTATGAGCTAGATTGATATCACAGCGATACCACAGAACATAAGAGAAGAATGAAACCTAAGAAGAACAAAGGGCAGCATCAGAAGATGAAATATCCTCAGCCGAGAGTTTGATTTTTAAAAACGTATGTAACAAAAGTATTTGAGGAAGAAAAAAACCCAAGCTACATTTTGGTCTGAATGAAAGAACAAAATATTTACCTCACTGACTTCTTCTCTTACAAGCTACAGGGATTATATAGTAAGCAAGCTGAAGGAACACGCCCAGCACACAGATTCTGCAAAGAACAGGGTACAGAGAAACATCTGGAGCCTTTACGAGATGTCCTGCTCTTTAATGTCAACAGAAGTTGATGCCATTAGTTTTCTTTCACTTATGATTTGCAGACATGCATGTGCATCAGGTTACAACATGTAAATGTAGGTGACACAGACATGGCAGATGAGTCCACTTGGACTGATGGGCCACTTTTCTGTAGTCTGCTGAGAAGTGTAACATGTGACAAAGACCACTCCCCACCCCGTGGTGATGCCCAGTGCTCACTTCTCTTAGGCTCAGTCCTGACAGTGTGCTACTGATTGAGTTTGGAATTCAGTGGTGAAGGGACTTTAGTGACACTGAAAGTGAACAAGTGACAAAGAAACTGTGTACCATTGTATGACATGTGTATGGCCAATTGGGTTGACATTGGTGTCACAGATTTATTTTCAGGTCAAACACCTTAGAAATTTATTGTCTTGCGTGTTAAGCAAGAGCAGTAAGACTTCAACCTTAGTGTTCTAGTGTGCTTTAAAAATAATCTAAATTCAAACACAGTCCATTATCTCTTGTAAGAAACTCTTTAAAGGACATTCTGAAGGGTCTTAGGTTGTGGTTTTGGTGACCAAAGCAGGCCCTTCTCTCCTATAGTAACAGGACCCAACCAGGATAGGGTGTTAAAAAGAATTTCTGCAATTCAACTTTGTAGTCAATGTAAATGGTCCCCTCCATCATTACTCCAGGTTAGACGTGTGGTGACTGCATTGGACTTGAGCAACAGGGATCATGTACTATCTGCTGTCTTTCTTAGAGAAAATATTACTTGCACATGGGAATTTTGTTAGCTACTTATAACTGTTTTGAAAGTGTTCTGCCCCCAGATGATAAGACCTTTAACCCATTTGGGAGAATTTTAGAGATAAATCTCCCACAAGTCTTTAAATTGTCCCCCCCACCCCCCCGGCCCATTTGATCCTGGGAAGTCACTGGCTGGACAATGGTTTCACTGTATGGCACATGGGGTTTTGATGGAACTCTATACACAGCTTTACCATTCCTCTGTTCTTTTCTGGATCGGGAAAATGAGGCAAATATTGCATAATACAGCTGCTTTGGATCACACAGTGAGACATGCCTGACTTGTAATTACCTGCAAATTATACAACCACGTGGGTCACCGTGAAGACTTCACATGCCACAGTCACAGGTCTGGAAAATGAGAGATGGTTTCCTGAGCCAGTGACTGGGTGTAGGACAGAGGAGAGAGAGCGGCATTCTGAATGCCTCAGCAACAGCCATTAACTTCTATTTCAAACCTTCTGCCAAGCACCGTGAAGTATACCAAAGACCAGGTAGCAGTAAAGATAAAGCACATGTAGATAAACTTATATATATTCATAAATGTGACCAAAGCCAGATACTCTAGTAACTAAAATGTGAATCTAACATTTAACTGGCATAATTTTAACATCCTAGGGTTGAGAAGGCTGAGCAAGAGGTGACTTGATTGAATGACAATCATTAATAATGGTGTGTACCTTTTGTGTCAATGTACTTTTCTGTAATAAAAACACATTTAAATAATCTTTCCCAGATAAAGGTGGATAAACCTCAAAGCCTATTGGGAAGAGGAGGTAACAGGCATAAAACCTCAAACTAAAAAGGAAGGAAAGAAGTCCTACCACCTCTTAGATGGAAACCCATCTCCTGGCTCCTCCTCCTACCAAGTACCAGCATAGTCCTCAAGACATCAACAGAGGGGAAGTTAAGTAATTGCTTAGTGAAAGAAAGAAGAGGTGAAAATTCAGATGACTTCGGACCGTGTACTCATGCCATACTCTCTGACAGTCCTTCAGGAAAATAAGAATTAAAAAAAAAAATCCTGGCTGAAGCTGGAAGCCCTGGATGACAGAATATCCCTGTAACAGTTCTGCTTTGCAGAGACATCAGATGGAAGAAAGGCTAGAAATGACCCAAGTAAAAATATTATTACAGAAGCTAACATTCTAGAAGCAAAGTAGTTTGATCATTTGTTTGGATAGGCCATCTCCATCATCATGAAATATTTGGGTCAGTAGACAGAGTTCTGAAAATAGATAAACCCTGAATGGAGAGAGTAGACAATATATTGCCTGGAGATAGAGAATATCATTTTACTTTTTAGATCATTGTACAAGAGAAGAAATCAAGTCAGCTGAGAAGTGGTATCACATGGAATTCAGGGCCAGTGTTGGTGTTCCTGTTTTTTGTCCTGTCTCTTCTCAGCTATATGGCCTTGAGGAAGTTATCTCATTGTTTAGCTCCTTTATCTGTGAAATGGGGATAAGAATATCTGACATATAGTGCTGTTGTGAATATTAGGTGACATACATATCTGAAGAACTTCAACAAGACAAGGGATAACAGCTTAAAGTAGTTTGAGGCATAAATTAGACTTGGAAGTAGAGTGGCTTCTTTGGAAAGTAGGCAAGTCGATTGATTAGGGTGGAGGGAGGTGAATTAAGTTAGAATCTAGGCAGGGCCATTTAGGCATGTCCTAGCTTGGCATCCATGGAAGGAGACGACATAACAGAGTCTATTTTCTTGACTTAGCTCCTGACCTAGTCCCGGTACCTTCTGGAAGACACAGCATGGACAAGGTGAGGTTAACATCTCATATCTCCTATGCCCAAGGCTCTCACAGGAGGTTGAAGACTGTGAGAAGATAGAATGCAGACTTGAACCCAGAGAATCTCAAAACTTGAGTGTTCTATGATGCTTTCCTTTGTAGGATGCTGCTCACATGGGTGGAAAAAGGAGCATGGGATCAGAAAGCTGTAGGCCCATACTGAATTCAAGCTCACTTGGAGTGCTTTCCTTTTCTGGCTGAATTCTGAGTTAGAGGTTCCCACATGCAAGAAGCCAGTCTGTACACAGATGATTTGTGAGTGTATCTGGTACAGGCAAGCATAGGTATGCTATCTATCTCTTAGAAGTCATGATTTGGCTAAAGAGGGAAGTAAAGTCCCTACACAACTTGAAAAGTTTACCATACAAGAGGGCAGATTGTTATACTAGAAGGTTAGAGGAGGCATGGCTTATACTCTCCTAAGATTGTTAGGAAATGTAATTTGGGAATGATCAGTAAGGCAGACACTAGAGTAACATCAGGATACAGAGAGATGTGGAATATTATTGACAAACTTATATAATTATATATAATCAATGTTGCTAACTGTTGATCATATGTGGTTATCACAAGCATTTATGGGCACTGACTCTTGACCATCCACACCTCTGTCTACCTGTTATCCATCCTTTGATGGGAAAGTGCTTCTGTGTATGTGTTTGTCTTATTGGATGATAAGTAAAGTACTGTTTGGCCAATAAGACAGCAAGTTAGGTGGGACTAGGAGTCAAGGAAGATTCTGGGAAATGTAGTAAAGAAGTGGTGATCTGAAGGAAGTGACATAGCAGGGAGACTCATATATAAACAAGGGTAAGAAGAAAGTGGCCCCTTCTCTCTTCCTCCTGGGCTCTGCTCTGGAGTCGCCATGTGATCCACCAGCAAGAGAGGGCGGTAGTGGAAGGCATCCTCTATAAGATAAGTCTTATAAAATATATAGGTTTACAATAATTAAGACTGATCTAGCAGATGAGAAATCCTAGTCATTGGCCAGTTTGGGGCCCTAACTCAGGCGGATGACAGAAAGCGCCCATGTGGCAGTAGGGCTCGGGTGACTTTTGGCGGAAAGATTTATCGTAACAATCCTTTCTTTCTATTATCTGTCCATCCATCCATCCATCCATCCATCCATCCATCCATCCATCCTTTTTCTATCCTATTGTATATCATTATCATCTATCTGCTACTACCAACCATTAAGTAAACATAGGCTGATTTTATTCTTAAATAATAATAATTATTGTTGTGTATGTGTGTACATGTCATAGCTCAGTGTGGAGGTGTGAAGACAACTTGTGAGAGTCTGTTCTTAAACTTCAACACTGGGAACTGAACTCAAGTAATCAAACTTGGTGTAAGCATCTTTACCCGATGAACCATCTGTCCGACTCTCTCTTGAAAGATAAAAATAAGTAGAAGTCAACCTAGTATTTTCTTCTTGCTTACCAAATAGTCATCTTGTACACTCCATTGGCACATCAGCTCTGAGCTTTAAATAGGACGTCTTAGTACCCCTCGAAGAACTGACAAGCTATGTTGGGTGCATCTGTACCCAGCTCCTCTGCAGAGCCTCCCAAACACTGTAAGATTTTTGTGGACAGAATTTACCTCTGTGCTTTCCATGATCTCTGACTGTGGCAACTTAAAATGGAACCAGGTGGCATGCCTGAGTGGATCACTCAGGTGGAACAGGAGCTGTGTGCTTCTGTGTCAGCAAGTGAAGCTCCACAGCTGCCTGTGACATCAGTTAAATTAATAGTCATGGTGATTATTTAGGTCCACTTCTTCAATGAGTACTTAATCTTACTTATTAAGTAGGTACATGGAAGACAGTAATGTGTTTTACAAACATAGAGTGAGAGGCAGGAAGGGCCTCAGGCTGTTTCTGTTCTCAGGATATGTAGCACCAGTGCCAAGTCATTTAATTTAGGAATTAACAGTCCATCTACCACTACTATCTTTTGCCTCCCCCTGAAAAATCCAGATGATGCTAATTGACTTCATTGAATTGTATTGTTCTAGCAACTCTCATAATTGCTAATGAACAATTTTATATGCCAACCAAACACAGTCTGTTGGTGTTGGTATAAGACATGTACATTGGCATTGATTGGTTAGGAACCAGAACACATTCATATATTGTCTCCATCACTTTGTTTATCCCTTTGCAGCACTGGTAATGAAACTCAAGGCCTCGTACATGGTTGACAAGTACTCTACCACTGAGCCGGACTCACGTTTTCCTTATTTTTAGGAAAGAGTGTCTAAGAGAATGTGCTGTGCTGTGTGTGTGTGTGTGTGTGTGTGTGTGTGTGTGTGTGTGTGTGTAATGCATGTGACGTATTTGTACACGGATGTCTACAGATGGAACATGCATGTGATTGTATGACTAGAAGTTCACACAAGACACCTTCTACTCTCTTCCCATCTCAGGTGTTGAGTCAGGATCTCTCACTGAGGGTGGAGATCATCATGAAGACTACAGATTAGCTGGTCAGTGAGCATCAGGGTTCCATTTGTTTCCACCTCTGCAATCCTGGGAGGCAAGTTACCATATTCATTTCTTTACATGGATGCCAGGGATCCAAACTCAGGTCCTTATGTTTGTGCAGCAAGCACTTCACAGACTGAACTATCTCCCCAGCCCTGAGTTCTTTTTAAGATCCACCAAATGCTAGAGTTGGACAAACTAAAGACACTTTATGCAAATCAGGCATCATTCAGTAAAGATAGGTATTATTTATGGAAAGAACAATACATGCCAGATATATGTGGAATACCTCACCAAATCTTTAATAAGTGTTATAATCACTTCTATGTCCTTTATTACATTAAGATCCTGAGATGATAGGGGTTGGGTGGTTTATCCAAGGTCACATGGCCAGTGTATGACAGACCTGGGGTCTGAGCCCAGACAGCTGGGCTCTGGAGCATTCCAGTGTTGGAAAATAAGAAAGTGGAATTTTCCTTATAGTAACCCATGGGAAGAAAGCAGCAAGCAGCAAGCAGCAGAACTCCAAATGCGGTGGAAATAATAAGAACTGTTTATGAGCTTGGACTTCTAATGGAAACCAGACAATGACAGTAATCATTCAGAATTTAAGATGACAGATTTTATTTGTATTGATTAGGTGCACATTTGTTTTGTTGGGAACTGTGAGTGAGTACTTGAGAGTAGAGAAAGTATGGGAATTAATTTTCTTGTCAGTTGTCCCTTTCATAATTATAATTCAGTCTCACCCAAACTGTCAGAGTGTTTTAAAAATATCATTTTTGTCTCCTGTGGGTCACAGAGGAACTCTTTATGACTTTCACAATGTAACAAGTGCCAATGAGTTTCTTCATACACCAAGCTGACTTGTTTTAGAACTCAATAGCTCAGCAATAGGTAGGAGGAAGGTAGTCTAGTGGCCTTGCTCACCCTGTGGCCAGGAACAGATCCTGCTCTGCATGTTGTTTATATAGAAGCACATGGAGGCCTAATTTTCTGGCCCTTGAAAGACTGGTGCTCTTTCTCCATCTGGGAAATAAGCTCAGAAAATGAAGAATCAGCCTTAGTGTTTGAAGCATCGATGGAGACTCTGACTAATAAGATGTGAATAAAGATATCTATCCATTTATTTAACAACACCTATTTCATAATATTTATTGTACTCTTAATATTATGCCAGGCTATTTTCTAGGTTCTAGGAATTTAGGTGTGACCAAAACTGACCAAGTGTCTTTGTCTTTGTGCACCTCACACTTATAATTATATGCTATTATAAAATTAAAAAGAAATAATGTAGTAGTTGCATCACTTAAAATTAAATATATTTACAGATACACCAAGCAGGTTACCTAGGATCTAACTATCATATCTGTAATCGTATGTTGTGATTGATCTTTAATCCAGGACTTAATATGTTCTCTCATTTGGAGAGATGTTGGTAAAGACAATTCAAATATGAAGAACATGACTGTGTCTATAGAGTCGTAAACTAAATGTATAGAATAATTCGAGGATTAAGAGGAACCAGATGCTTAAAGCAATAAAAGGAAAACTGATAAAAATTCAAGTATGACTCAGGTTTTCATATCACAAAGTTCCTTGCTAATATTTTTTTAGAAGCCTTCACAGACTGAAGTGTGAGAACAAAAATCTACAGGGGAAGCAAGGCAATGTAGTCATTGTATGCATTATAAAACTTTTCATATGGTCTCTGTGATGTAAAAGTCTAGCTTAGTAATGCAATGTATTTGTCCTTTACACATTAAACTTTTTATCTTGGAAATGCTGCTTGTCTTGCTCACCCCCGATCCCTGCAGCACCCTGACACAATTCCACAGATGCAGAAAAATAAAGACACTCTGGATTTGAGGAGTTTCCAGGAATCAAATGAATACAATACAGCACAATTTGAATATTTAAAAATATAAGTGTTAATGTAAATGCATTTTGGAGAAAACAACAAAATACACAAATACCAAGTATAAAGCTGATGGGAGAAGTGCTTCTGTGTATGTGTTTGTCTTATTGGATGGTAAATAAAGTACTGTTTGGCCAATAAGGCAGCAAGTTAGGCGGGACTAGGAGTCAAGGAGGATTCTGGGAAATGTAGTAAAGAAATGGTGATCCACAGGAAGTGACATGGCAGGGAGGCTCATATATAAACAAGGGCAAAAAGGAAGTGGGCCCCTTCTCTCTTCCTCCAGAGTCATCATGTGATCCTGGGATGAGGAGGCCAATGGAAGGCATCCTAAATGAGATAAGTCTTATAAAATATATAGATTTATGATAATTAAGACTGAGCTAACAGATGAGAAATCCTAGTCATTGGCCAAGCAGCATTTGTACCTAATATAAGTCTCTGTGTATTATTTGGGGTCCTAACTTGGCGGGCAGAACTCGGGTGGCTGGCAGAAAGCGCCCACGTGGCAACAGGGCTCGAGTGTCTTTTGGCAGAAAGATTTATCGTAACATAAAGCCTTTTCTGTTGAAAATGTACTGATACTGAAAATTAGTGGCACCTTTTAATCTGCTCTTGGTTGAGGCCAAGAGGCAGCTAAAGCCATTCACACCACAGCTGTGAATGAAAGTGGGGACATAACCATGTGGCTGCCTCTGCAGACCCTTCCCACAGGGCCTTCCATCTCCTCTCTAGTCTGTTCTTCTGTATTGTTTATTTCATCTCTCTTCTCCATCATGGATCATCCTTTTGACAGAACACACCATTTTTGGTTTACTTTATTTCTCAGTATGTACTGTAGTGATGCTAGAGGCTCAATAAATGCACACTTAGTAATAGATAAGCCATATTCTCATCTATAATAGTGCTGAAGGGAAATGACTTTTGGTCATTGATATGTGTCACTTTCTTCTCGCCTCAGATACTTCTGATGGTCCAGTGCCTCTTGGGTCTCTTCCCTCATGACAAGATGAATACTCTGGCTTGGCCCCCATCTTCTCAGTCTTTGGAAAGGCACTGTCTTAAACCTTCCTTCCTTGAACTTTAGTCAGGATGAGCATTTCATGACACTGTGAAGAGTGACTGGATTTGGACTCACTTGGGAGATACAACCCTGAACATGTCTGGAGGGTGATTCCAGAGAGGTGTAACTAAAGAGGGGAGGTCTACCCTGGATGTGGGTGGCACCAAGCCATGGCTGGGGGCCTGGACCAGAGACTAGGGAGAAAAAGAGGAAGCCACTGAATGCCAGCTCTCCTCTCATTCTACTTCTTGACTGGATGCAATGTGACCAGCTGCTTCACACTTCTGCTTCCAAGCTCTTCCCACCACAATGGGCTGTACCTCCAAACAGTGAGCCCCAGTAAGCCATTCCTCCCTTAAATTACTTTTTCTGTCAGAAATTTGGTCAGAGCAACAACAAACAACCCCTAACTAATACAAAATAATTCTTAATTGCATAAGTGTGCCATTTTCTATGATTTATTGGTATTGTAGGCTTTCCTAAGCAAGTTGTCTTACCTCTTATACACCTTTATTATACTCCATATTTTGTCTGCCATTATGCTACACCACACACAGGCCTGCAAACTGACCTTTTTGGTGCTGTTCACAAGGGGTTGGTTCAGAATTAGCAAGAAAGGATGATGCTTAAGTAGGTAGAAAAACCATAAGGAAAAAAAGTTTGAGGTATTTGGATCTGGTATTTTACGTCTAGGTCATAGCCAGCAGATATTATTTGACTACTATACAATGGCATCCTTGATCTATTCTCTCGCTTCATCCCTGGGATCCTGCACATATTTCAAACAAATTTCCGCATGAACATAAATTATCTACTATTAATGCCAAGCCTACAATTTCTAGGCCATATGATAAGATCATTTTTAGTTTTAAAAGGATCATTATACTATTTCCTATAGTAGCTACCTGCACCATTTCACACTCTCACCAGCAATGTGACTGACCAGGGTTTTCTTCATTATGACAGGCATTGTGGTGCCGTGATAGCTGTTTGTGATGACACCCTCACTTTGGCTTTCTTGGATAGTTTTGATGGTGAAAGTCCTCTCATGTACTCATGTGTCAGCTGTGGACTGTCATCAGAGAACTGTTTGTGCACATCCTTTGTCTACCTTCTAACTGGATTGTTGGTTTTTTCTTTATGTCTTTTGCAAATCCGATGTATACTCTATATACACTTTTTGTCAGATGTCTTGTTTGAAAAACATTTCTCCTTTTCTATAATTTGCCCTATTAGACGTTATTAAATAAAGTTTTCCTTGTTGCAAAAAATTCAATTTTGATGCCATCCATTTTTCCTTTTAGATCATAGCATGTGATTTTTTGAGTGATCTATTTTTTTGTTGATGGAAGATCAATTTTATTATGCATGCTAAATTTGTGTGTGGAAGTGCAGGTACATGTGTATCATGGGGTGTGTTCGGAAGTCAGAGGACGACTCTTGGGAGTTGGTTCTCTCTTGTTACCTTGTGGTGTCTGGCTATCTAACTCAGGTCATCAGGCCTGCATATAAGTGCATCTATCTGCAAAGCTATTACACATTTTAGAGAAGAAGGTTGAGTATCTTCAGATTGTATAGGTTGTATGGGGGACACGAATTGGACAAGCAGAAAGTCTAAATTGAAACTATATGCTTCTCTTCCCCCATGTCCCTGCCCTGCTTGATTTGAATGTGGAGGACTGCGATCGAAGACCTTCTGCACACCGGGGAAGCACAATGGCACACATTCTTAATGCCCAGACTCCCCAGGTCCATCACTCTCTTAGCATTCCTCAAGGAGTCATAAAACACACTCCTAATTACCTTCCTGGCAGGATAGTGGAATGTATTTAGAAAATGTAGCGCCCCCCCCCACCATCTTCATAGGGATATTTAAGGAAACCTAGAGCTTTCGTCATTAGCTTTGCTTTGTACAAAAGTTACAGGGTTTTAAAAATAAACTTCATTATTTTCAATGTCACAAATCCTTCTAATCTTACAAGATGTGAGCCATCTAGTCTTATGAAGTAGGAAAGGAGATCCAGAGATGAAATTGAGGTTTGATACTAGGATAACATTTCATATTTGCTTTAAATGTTGGATAAAGCTTAGTCTCAAAATAAAATAAAAATGAATCTGGTTCCAAGCAGTGGCTTCGGTCTCCCAGGGCCTATCTTATCTGTTATCTGTCAATAGAGCAACGGAAATTGTGTGCAATTGAAAACAGATGTAGCTCGGCAATAGCAGAAATGGAAAGATGTACTCTGGAAGGCCTAACTGCATTATTGTTACAAGCAGCCAAGAAGTGACCAGTATTACATCAGCAGCATCTTCATGGCCAAAGCACTATTTTCAGTTCTGGAATTAAAAAGTCACTGCAAGGTTGGGGGGAAATGACGCTGAATCTCCTAATGACTGCTTGCCTCAAGTCTTGGTTTGCGGGCGACAGTTTCTCAAGGTGGCTGCAGAAGCTTGGAGGAGAGCATTCACATGCTTACAGCTCAGACAGCATCTCACATGGGGAGCATAAGCTTCAGATTGTGCCACATCAGCACCACACATTCACTGTTTAGTCAATGGCAACAACGCTGGATGTCTCTGCACAGGACAGTGGAGGATGTACTAGAGCCATGGGGCTGATTAAAGAAGATCCAGTCCCCAAATCAGAGACCACCTGTGCCGACATTTCTCTCAAAATGACGTGCCTTTGTTCATTTTTAAAGTTTTCATAATGAGAAATGTCAACCTGAGAAAAAGTTCAGAAGAGCCGCATTGCTGCCACTTAGGCCAAATCACTGCTATTTTCTGTACTTGTTTTGTTAACATAGGTATATATATATATTTCCTGAATAATTTAAAGTGAACTACAGACATTGTAATATCTTTAGCCAAGAACATTTTACAAGTTCGTGTGGAGTGTGCAAACATACTCCTATGCAGCCATAGTCACTGTGCGTGCTCTGTATGCATGCATGGCACGCTGCAATAACAGGTGGGCACATCTTAAGGGTGGTGCTGTTGATTTTCTTGCCAACACTGTTAGTGACTCTGCTTTTTAAGGCTTCTTCCTTTTCCTTTTTTTTTTGTTTTTTAATACTTTCTCACGAGAACATGTAGTCGAACGTCAGTAAATTCACTAAAATATTTTGCTGTGATATAAGTACTCTGTTTTAAAAGGCTTTCAAATTACATTTGTTTATTTTATTGTGCCTGTATGTGCATGGACCTGCATTTACCAAGGTGTGCGAGTGTAGGACAGAGGTCAACTTGCAGGAAGTTGGTTCTTTCCACCACCCTGTAGGGTCTGGAAATCAAACTGGGGTCTTCAGGGTTGGGAACAGGAACCTTTACCCACTGACTCATCTGTAGGACTAAGTACAGTTTTCTGGCCACTGCTTGGTGTTTACCCATAGCTGGAAAATACTGTTCACAAATTTGTAAATATAAACATTATATACTGCCTTGACACATACACTCTCTCTCTCTCTCTGAATGGGAAAGGAGCTACTTTGTTACAAGTGAGATGCAGGGGGCCTGGAGGAATACAATACTGTATGCCTTGTGGTGGCTTGGCTCTACCAGCAGGCATAGAAAGAAGCAACTGCTCTGTATTCTAAACTTGGGAAGAGGGGGGTCTGTGGAAGCCTGAGACCAGCTAGGTTTTGAGAGCATGTGAATTTTCAGGGGACAGAAGAACAAGTGTGAAAAACTCCCATCAGATTCTATAAAGTGTCCTGCACCCTAAATAGGCCAAAGGTCACAAATTTTATGCTTTTGAAGTACAAGTCATTTGGGAGCTGGAAGATACCATAGGCCACATGGGATCGTTGCTCACTGGCGGAAAGATGGAGCCGTGAAGTGACCCTTCCAGCCTATTCAATCAACAGCCCACACTTTGGGAATGGGATCTGGCCTAGGTGAAAGAGAGCAGAAGGCAGCATGGAGCATTTTACACACACTGTCAAGTTCTCAATTAGTTCACACTCTTCAGGAAAAAGCTGGGATATCACTGCAGATGGTCTGACTCTATTCAGTGGGCACAAACTGGGCAGGGTGCCCACGGTCTGCTCTGGGCATTAGCTGCCTCTTTGCTGACTGTTTGTTCTAAATGCTGCCTCGGCAGGCGCTGGTGGCCTTGAGGGCAGTTTATATCTGTGATTGGACTCAGCTTTAAAAACACACAAGGGGGAGACAGACCCCCTCAAAGCCCCCCAAACAAAAACAAAAACAATAAGAATACTGTAGGCCTCCTTTTTTTCACTTGTGTAGACATTTTGAAAAAAGGGAATAAAACAAGGGTTCAGAGAAACACCAAGCATCATGTTAGGGTTGTTTCCTGGCTTTAGAGCAATTAGTAGACTCTTTTGAATCCCTTTTTCTGAAGTGAAGCTCAAAATGATGAAGCAACTGGACTGGGCAAGGCCAGCCAGTGACTCAGCAGATGGGGCTGGGTCACAGTGTACCTGATGAGTACAATTTCCCACCACATACATCTCTGGTGTTTAGAGATAGTCAGCTGGAGAGGCCAGCTGGAGACCTGACCGAGTGGAATCAGGCTGCATTTTTGGGTGGTTGGCTTCTTGAGCTTTGTGCTAGCTTTTGTCAAAAAATGGACAGTGAGAGATAGATCAATAGCACTTAGATTGGAACCACTCAATTTACATGAACTCATTTAATATTTATAGCTCCGTAAGCATTATTAATCCTATTTTACTGTTGGAGAAAGAGAGGAATGAGCCCAAGGCCACAGGCGTAGACTCTGGTAAAGCTAGGGTTTGCATCCAGCTATGTGGCTAAGAAGCTGGGGCTCTCTGTCCCTGCAGGTTTGATACCATGAAACAGGTGGGCTTACTAAATAGTTAAACCTCCAGGAGGGCACAAAGTTTCAGATCACTGGAGGGCACTTAATTACATGAAGGAAACTTTCTTCTCTCCAAGGGAATCCCCTTCAATCCAGTACATTCTCAGGAAGATTTATGGGAAATCAAATTTTAGCAAAGTGAATTTATTATTATTGGTAGATATTAATTTTCTAGAATAATCTTAATACTTTTTAATGCTTTTTAGCTCTTCTGCTATTGAATTGGAGATCCACAAATAATCATTTGAATATACTGGAAGATCTAAGGGAGTCTTGGTTTTATTAATTTTCTGGTAATGGAATAATTATTTCTCAATGGGTTTGATTTTGATATTCGTAATTTTTTCTTTTGGGGGCAGTGGATGGGTGAGCAGGTTCTCACTATGTAGCTCTGGTGGCCTTGAGCTCACAGAAATTTTCATGACTAGTCTCCTAAAGGCTAGGGTTAAAGGCATATGTCACCATGCCTGGCCTGATATTAGTGTTTCTAATTTTGAAGTATTAAGTATAAAAAAGAAACATGGTAAGTCTGGGGAGATGTTTCAGTTGGTAAAGCACCTGCCACACAACATGAAGACCTGAGTTCAGATCCCCAGAACTGACATGAAAAGCCAGGCATGACGGTGTGTGTCTGTAAGCCCAACACTGCTGGTATGGGGCAGGGGGAGTCAAGGCTGAGATAGATAGATTCCTGAGATTCGTTGATCAAACAGTTTGGTTCAACTGATAAGCTTCAGGTCCAGTGAGGTACCCTTTCTCAAAAAAAAAAAAAAAAAAAAAGGTGGAGAACCTTGAGGAGAAATACCTAACATTTACCTTTGGACTCCATATGTATACACACACAAGTGCACATATGTACACTAAAGAGTCCATATGACACACACAATATATATTCATAAAACAAACACCGAAATACTGTAATTCAGAGGCTAAAGTTGAGGATGACACTGGAGAATAACACAAATCATTCAAAGAGTCCTGTCAATTCCTCGGACTGTGACCTCCACTGGATGCTAGAGGGATGTAAGCCTTAGAAATCACACATGTAGAATGGGGATAAAAGCTGTCTCAGAGGATTGTTTAATTATCAAATTAAATAAGATGACATATAAAATCCTCTCCCTACAGGCATTCAGTAAATGATTTTGAGGTATAAAATGATAAGCATCTCTGATTGGGCAACTTGTTTCCAGACTCAATGATGGCTGGTAGCCAGGTTGCAATGCCTACATCTATATGAATCTCTCCAAAGCTTTAGCTAAGAATTTCAGCTTCATAAAGCTACAGAGAAAGGGCACGTCAAGTGTTATCCTAGACAGACAGGGACACAAGTGCTCCAATTTCTCTGTTTTCCTTCCACCGATGGCCATTTTGCATCTGCAAATGTTTTTTTTTTTTTTTGTTTTTTGTTTTTCCAACAAAAGATTTTTTTGCAG